TGTCCAAATTGCGTTGTGTCCCCTTACAGTTGTGCATATCCTTGTTGAATGTCCTGACTTCCAGGGTGAGCGTGTGTCTTGCTTTCCAACCGTCCCTCACGGTCACTTGTCCCTCAATAGAATTCTTGGTGAATCGGATACTTTTGATATCGTTCGCCTTATGCGTTTGTTTTCGTATTGGCATTCTTGGTGATATTTAGTGCCATCTGATTATTTCGCACTTTGATGGTGCTACATAGCCTTCCTGGTTTGGTGTCTTCTTTTGATAATTACCTTACCTTGGACAGTGGCAAAGTGAACTTTGCAACAAGGTTGCCAATATATAAACCTGATATTGTCATTGATTGCAATGTAAATACGCAGTTAGTAGATAAATGTGAAATGATTGTTGGTGCCGTCGAGTGCATTTAAAAATCTGTGAAGTGGATGAAGAGATTGTTTTTCTACCTTGTTGACATTGCAGTGCTGAACTGTTTCAACACGTATCTTGTGAAATCTGGCGAGAGACCACCGATCCGTACATTCAGTGCTGCTCTAGCATCACAACTACTCGCACAATATGGGGTGAAGGGGAGTTTTGTGATGCATGGGATGCCAGCAACAATGCCTCACACAGTTCCTGACAGACTCGGGTAAAGAATACTTTTGGTGTACACAAGCTTGGTTATATGCCAAGCACAGACACACAAGAAAAAGTCAAATGTGGCTGCATTGTATGCAAGAACACGCAATGTAGGGAACAGAAGCAAAGATCCATCTGCACTTGTTGCGTTGAGTGCAAAGTTGCCTTGTGCCCCGTTGACGGCTTCAGTGATTATCACACACTCGCACATTTCTAAGTGTTGATAGTGATGTATATAGTCTGTGATAGTATAAAGTGTGTAAATAAGTTGTAAATGTAAAGAATTAAATATGTAATATAGAATTGTGGGTGACATTCCTGGGTATGAGAGCCTTAGTACTGAGTGAGCCACCAAGGCTGGCACACAGCTTGAGCTAACAGCACTGTTATTCAGACTAAGACCACAGCATTGCCTAAAAAGTCAAAATATATATGTAACTGTTATTATTTAGCAATGATAGCATTACAGAAGAGTCTGACTGATGAAGATTGTGTGTGTGATTGTGTACAATGTTCAGATATCAGTGAACACAATGCTATTCAAGATGTTCACAGCACTATCCACATCACACTGCTATTGTTTGGTCCTTCTAAGAATCTTGAAACAACTTCTCATGTCCCTTTTCAGAATAAACTTGTGGAAAATTAATAATTTGAAGGATTCAGTGACCAGGATTCTAATAACAGCAGCATTGTGGTGAGAATTAATGATGTGTGTAGTATGGTGGGAGGAGGAATCTTGGTGAGGGAGGAAGGGAGGTGTCTTCATCTGCTGACTAGTGTGGTGGCCATTATTATTATCTGGACTCATTATACCAGCTTAGTGGTTCGTTATGGTGACCACAAATGTAGATTCTGATATATAACGTGTGTGTGTATATAATGTAATAACAGCAAAAAGATTGTTGGGAGGAGCCATTTTGGTGAGGGTGGTGGTGATATCTGCTGGCTGGTATTGTGACTTGTCATGCAGTGTATGGTGGCCACTATGCTGTTTAGACATCATACCAGCTTAGTTGTACAGTTATGATGAACAAAACATGTAGATACTAATATATAACATGTGTATATAGTATAAGCACAAAGACAAATCACAAACAGTAAGGGGGGAGGAGAAATGTTGACGAGTGAGGTGTTGGGGAGGGAGGGAGGGAGGGATGTGGCGCCAGCTGGCTAGTGTGTGGTGGCCACTGTTATTGTTTGGACTCACCATCCCAACTTAATAATTCATTATGGTGAACACAAATGTAGATACTTATACTGTATATAACTTATGCATATAGTGTAAGAACAGCACAAATAGTATGCTGGGAGGAGCCGTTTTGGTGAGCGAGGTGCGGGCGTCTGCTAGATGCTGTGTGACATGCAGTGTATGGTGGCCACTATGCTGTTTGGACACCACGCCAGCCTAGTTGTGAAGTTATGGCGAACAAAACATGTAGATAATTTTATATAGCATGTGTATATACAGGCATACCTCAGAATAAGAGTTTAATCCGTTCCTGGAGACGCCTCGCCTTCCGAAAACTCGCATTCCGAAGTTAATTTCCCCATAAGAAATAAAGGGAAATGAATTAATCCGTTCCTGACTACCCCAAAAACCCCACATCAAACTAAATTTTTATACCTAATTCATCTAAATAAACCTACAAAACTGTGTTCCATTTATTACTTACCTTGCTGTTGAGTGCTGTAGGCGTATGGAAGATGGTGAGGAGGGGGGACGAGGAGAGGAGTTACTGTTTGGAAGGGGAGTCCCCTTCCATAATCACATCACATAACCCCATGCCTTGTAACACTATGGATACCACTTCTCTTTCTAAATTTTTCAAACCAGCCCCTGCTTGCCTTAAACTCTTTCTTATCTGCATCACTCGTTGCAGGGGTATTCTTTAGAAGGTCTTCGTGCAACACCCTGGCTTTCTCACAAATAATGGCCTCCGAAACACTATCACCCCTCAACTCCTTGTCGTGTATCCAAATTAATAACAACTTTTCCACTTCTTCAAGTATTTGTGGTCTTTGTGCCGTTAATGTTCTTACTCCTTTTGCCACTTTAGCACCCATAATCTTATTTTTCTTCTTAAGTATAGTGCATATTGTTGATGTGGCTTTGTTGTACTGCCTACGAAGTTCAACAACACGTGTACCGTTCTCATGCTTCCGAATGATCTCTTGTTTCTCCTCTATTGTCATCCTCACATGAGCTTTCTGGCCTTTATCCTTACCACTGGCTTTCTTGGGACCCATGGTGAGATATATAATAACAAATTGTATAGACAAATCACCAAAAATCCAACAAAACACTGAAAATCCGCGAGAAGAATTGATGTGGGGGTAGTCACTGAGCGCGAGACAATAATAAACTGAGGGGCGGCGGGGCGGAGGGGCGACGAACGCGCTAGGTCGGCTTTACGCGTATCAACAAACTCGCGTCCAAACTCGCCTCCCGAAGTAACCCTCGCCTTCTGAGACAAATTTTTGGAGTAAATACACCTCGCCTTCCGAAAACCTCGCATACAGGGACAATCGCATTCCGAGGTACCACTGTATATATATATATATATAGCATATATATATATATATATATATATATATATATATATATATATATTAATAAAGCAACAATAATTGAAAATTTGCTAATGGGTCCATTAAATCAGAAAAGGATTTAAGTAAATATTGTCTTACTTGCTGACTGGCAGACACCACACCTGGCATTGCAATCTTAGTGCTATGAAGATTTGCTAGTTTAGGAGATACATCAACCATCTTCAAGTTTGATGATGCTCTACGATGAGCTCTCTGCTGAAGCATCTGTCAAAAATGATGAATATATATATGAAAGACGTCAAAATAAACACTCAGAGTTTCTAATCATTTATTCATTATTTATCACTTCTGGTTACGGAGAAAGCAACATTCTGCAAGACTGAGTGAGAAAGATGATTGTAAGTTAAAACATTTCTATTATACAGTACAGGCATACCTCAGAATAAGAGTTTAATCCGTTCCTGGAGACGCCTCGCCTTCCGAAAACTCGCATTCCGAAGTTAATTTCCCCATAAGAAATAAAGGGAAATGAATTAATCCGTTCCTGACTACCCCAAAAACCCCACATCAAACTAAATTTTTATACCTAATTTACCTAATTCATCTAAATAAACCTACAAAACTGTGTTCCAGTTATTACTTACCTTGCTGTCGAGTGCTGTAGGCGTATGGAAGATGGTGAGGAGGGGGGAGGAGGAGAGGAGTTACTGTTTGGAAGGGGAATCCCCTTCCATAATCACATCACATAACCCCATGCCTTGTAACACTATGGATACCACTTCTCTTTCTAAATTTTTCAAACCAGCCCCTGCTTGCCTTAAACTCTTTCTTATCTGCATCACTCGTTGCAGGGGTATTCTTTAGAAGGTCTTCGTGCAACACCCTGGCTTTCTCACAAATAATGGCCTCCGAAACACTCACCCCTCAACTCCTTGTCGTGTATCCAAATTAATAACAACTTTTCCACTTCTTCAAGTATTTGTGGTCTTTGTGCCGTTAATGTTCTTACTCCTTTTGCCACTTTAGCACCCATAATCTTATTTTTCTTCTTAAGTATAGTGCATATTGTTGATGTGGCTTTGTTGTACTGCCTACAAAGTTCAACAACACGTGTACCGTTCTCATGCTTCCGAATGATCTCTTGTTTCTCCTCTATTGTCATCCTCACATGAGCTTTCTGGCCTTTATCCTTACCACTGGCTTTCTTGGGACCCATGGTGAGATATATAATAACAAATTGTATAGACAAATCACCAAAAATCCAACAAAACACTGAAAATCCGCGAGAAGAATTGATGTGGGGGTAGTCACTGAGCGCGAGACAATAATAAACTGAGGGGTGGCGGGGCGGAGGGGCGACGAACGCGCTAGGTCGGCTGTACGCGTATCAACAAACTCGCGTCCAAACTCGCCTCCCGAAGTAACCATCGCCTTCCGAGACAAATTTTTGGAGTAAATACACCTCGCCTTCCGAAAACCTCGCATACAGGGACAATCGCATTCCGAGGTACCACTGTAGAAAATCAGCCACATTTAAATAATTAGGTAATAATATCTTTGTGACAACTCCTGCATGATAGCTCGAGTGGAGAAGACCAGCCCTGGACGTGTGTACAGTACTCTGTCAGTGCCTGAATCTTGCCAACTTTCTTGCCTTATTACGGCCAAAATATGTCACCTATGATTCTTTTCATGTAAACAGGGAGCACATTTTAACAATCATAGAAGACAACAAAATTTTTATTTTTTTTCTTGCACACTGTAGTGTTATCAGCTATTATTAGCATCACTGCCCAAGAGTTAATATCTAAAAATATATTTACAGCTACTTCTGCCCCACAACAGGACCTTGGGCTACTGCCACAGGACAAATGCTGCATGAATGCTTGTGAATTGGAAGATTCTGGCCTACATCATTGCCAAAGTAAGTTGCACACTATTTTTTTCCCATGATCAGGGAACACAGTTTAACAGTACTGGTATTAGAAAAAAAATTCTGGGGGGAGCCCCGTCGGCTCCCCGGAGCTTTACGAGGCTGATATGCTAATGTCAGACTTTGGCATCAGTCATGTGTATAGAGTTCTAGGGCCTACCGGGGACCACGGCCAGAACCTGACCCCCTCAGAGAGGCAAGGGGAGCAATGGTCTATAGAAACCCCTGTGTGGTTGGAAGCATTCTATGTCTGCCATCGACTGGGTCAAGCATCCAGAAAGGTAAGCATTCCAAAACAAACCCCTATTCTGGTGAAAATTGCTACCTAAAGCTGAACTAGTGGATAGAACTTCTCAACAGAAAACAAGCAAACTAGTATGACGTCACACGTCACTGCGCCGCTGTCTGCGCAGCTCCCCCCTCCCCGGGAGGGGGAAGGGGGAGTCCCAGACCTCCCACGCCGGCTATCCACCCATCAGTTCTTCGGCTGATGCTATAGGCACCGGTTATGTGCTCCAGCTCCAGTGGTTGTTTCAGCACTGTACACTGTACACAACAGTGTGGTGTCTGTTTTCTAGGTGGTGCGTGAGCCGGGAGTGATTCTCCAGTACTCGGGCTGCATGCGCCTAGGGTTCCCTTCCCTAGGTGCCCTGTAAGTACTGCCCTAGGGGCTTGGGGCCACCTTCCACAAGTTTCTTGGGTCCTGCCCCTGCTAGGCCGTTTACTGCTTGGTTTTCGGCCGCTCCTTGTGTGCTCGGGTGTTCTGTCTCCCTTGTTCACCTTAGAGTAAGGAACAGTTTTGCACTGGTGGGGCGCAGGGTACTGTGCAGCTTGACTTTACCAATCATGGTGGCCGGCTCTGTTCCGCTTGGGTACGCTGTCCTCTTGCGGGGTTTTCTTTTTCTTTTTGTTTATCTACCTGGTGGGAGGGGTCTGCCTTCGTTCTTGCCCCTTGTTTTCCCTTGTGTTCTGAGTATTTTCTGGTGGTACCCCCTGCTACCCCTGGTCGCCCGTGAGTGTACACATCCCGGGGGTTCAGCTCTTAGAAAGTTGTTTGGTAGCTTTGGGTGCCGATTAGCAGTACCCTGCCTGAGATTACCTGAGCGCGCGTCCTCTTATAGTAAACGCTCGGGACCCTGGGAAACCCCTGGGGGCGCGTGGGTCCGATGGATGTGACCCCAGAGTCCCCCCTCGCTTCCAGCGAGTTTGAGGGTTGCTCTCACCCTTTGTCTCTGGGTGACTGTTTGCCTCCGTCTGCTGCCTGTGGGGCCGGTGACACCTTCGACCTGGAGTCCTACGAGTTTGGTTGCTCGTTGTGGCTTGGTTACCCAGTTGTGCTGACTAAGCGGGTGCAGGCAGCAGGGGCGTTGCAATTTGAGCCTTGGAGGTGGCAACGCTCTCGTGGTTTGCTCCCCGGGAGCCCCAGGGCTTCCCCATTTTGGTTCGTGTTGGGACTTGGGGGTGTTGGTTGCTTCGGTTCCTTACACGCCCCCTTGTCTTTCCCCTGGATCCCCCTTCCTGCCTGCATCCGGTTTCTTACCATCTGTAGGTTTGGGGCGGGGTTTTTTGATGGTGTTGAGACTCGGGCAGTCTCGGGGAATTCCCCTTCCGGGGTAGTGACGGGGGCATTTTAGCCTGTTCCTCCAGCCATGTTGTAAGAGTCTGCCAGTGGGCTCCCTTCCTTAGTGTTTTTGCAGCTGCTCCGGTTTTCAGGTACGGCCGGGGCTTTGGGGATGATGGCTCGGCCCGGGGCCTGTCGTGTAGGTTCCCGGGGCTGGGGAGGGGCTGACTTGGGGGGGGCCTTGGCCCCTAGGACCCCGTGGGTTTTTTTTTATCCCCCTCTAGGCGGGACTTGTGGTTATGCGGAGTGGGGTCTTTCCTCCCCACTCACCGTATGTGCTGTTGGGCGTCGGCCCCCTCCCCGGGCTCGGTTCCTTGGCCTTTGAGTCGGTTGGTTTCGTCCTGTGGGTGGATGTTTCCTCCCACCCTTTTTTGGGACGGTGTTTTCATCATGTTTCCCCGTTCTTGGGGTTCTACATGACTTCTGGTCTCGGGTGCGCCTGCGCCTTTGTGTGCCTTCGGGACTAGTGTTGGCGTCTGTGTTGTCGAGGGTTCGGGAAGGTTTTCGCTACTTCCCTCATTATTGGAACGTCTGTTGGCTCCTCGTCCTTGTCGCCGTTTTGGGCTATTTGTAGCCCAGTTGGGCTGCTTGTGGCCAGTGGCCCGGTTTGGGCTACTTGTGGCCCAGTTGGGCTACTTGTGGGCTGGTTGGGCTACTTGTAGCCCTGTTGGGCTGCTTGTGGCCCGGTTGGGTACCTTTTTGTGCTCTGTCTTCGCTTCGTTGGCCGATTTTATTGTTCCTGCTTCCTCTTATGGCTACTTTTCTAGTGCAGTAGTCCTGGTTGGCGCCTTCCCGCTGAGAGGGTTGTGTGGTTCGGCCAGCGTGTCATGCGCCATGGAGTTTGTTTTGTCTGGGTGGTGTTTCAGTGCTGGTGTTTTGCGCCCTTTTTGCTCAAGTGCTTCGCCTCTCTCTCTTCTCCCTGGCTGCGGTATGTGCCCCTTCGCTCCGGGGGTGTCCTGGTTTCTGGTTGTGGGGAGGACGCCTAGGTTTTTCCTGTGTCATGGGTGTGGGCCGCCTCCTTCGCCTCTACCCTGCTCTCCTGCGGGTCCGGCCGGATCCGGCTCTGGCGTCTTCACCTGGTGGTGCTCCCAGGTTCTTCTGGGCACGGTTGAGTCGTGTCACGTTCGTGCCACCGTTCGCCAGGTGAGTTTCTGCGGTCTGGCGTCTTTTGGCCGGGCGCTGGATGCGGTGTTGTTTATATACCTATCTTTATTTAGGTATATTTTTGTACGACTGAGACTGTTCGCACACCAGTGACTGTCCCTTTTCAACCCTTCCTGTCCCACTCATGTGCATGTCCAACCCATGCTAGAGTCATTCAGGGGACCCACCTTTTTTTCGTGTTATGAGGTGTGGGGGTTGTGGTGTTGGTTCTGTACTCACCTAGTAAGGCTCCTGGCTATGCATGCAGGGTTTGATCTCTGACTCTTGGGTCCCGCCTATCTGGTAGAACTTGCGGGATAGTACCAGTGGAGTGCAGTGGTGCTATAGGCACAATAGGGAAACACTGTATAACCATCAGAGGTCTGCGGTTGTTACACGACCTACTTGCGAGCATACGCCTTATTGACGGTACGTCCGTGGACTTCCAGGGCACACTAGCCTGTTTTTGAATAGAAGTTCTGGCCCATCCTGGTTGTGGGGGTATGTGGGCCTGCGGGCTGCTCCAAACAGCTGCCTGGTGGGCCACCCTCTGGCCGGTCTAGCCTAGCCTCGGGCTAGGCTTGGGGTGTACATGAGCTCCCAGTACCCTATCCAGCAGGTATCGAGCGGGGTTCTCCGCCGTTGGTCGCCTGGTGTGCAGGTTCCTGGGCCTGCTGGGTTTTGTCATGTCTCCGTTGGCCCTGTCCGGGGTCTGCCTGCTCTGTTCTCTGCCTTACCAGACGCAAGTTGCTATTTACATGTTGCGGTGGTGCCTGTTGCTGCTGCTGCACGTGTGCATTGGTAACGTGTTTCGCAGTGGCGTGTCCTTGTTCCTGTGTCCGGTTGTGGTGTGGCACTTTGCTGCTGTTTTGTGCCTAGGGTTTGCTTGTTGTTTTTCGTGGTCTTCGGGTCCCTGGTTTGGCCCTCTCATGTGCATGGGGTTTTTCTGTCCCTGCCTGATTGTCCACCCCTGGTTGTTTTCCTGGTGTTTTTGTGCTTCTGCTCTTTCATCCTGCCTCTCCCCAGTCGTTTTCCTGGCATCTCCTTTGGTCGGTTTTGCCTGCACTTGCTACTATGTTGGGGGGGGGGGGGCGTGGTCGGTTTCCACCGCTTCATTTCCTTGTGCGTTCCCTTTTTTTCCTCCTCTGCCGCAGGGGTGTTCTGCATGTGTTCCTTGGCTTCTTGGGCATTTTTCAGCCTGTGTCCTGTGGTGTGCTTCTTTGTCTCGGTCTGTTGCAGTTGCTCGTACCCTTTGGTTCGGGTACTGTTTCTGGCGGCAACCCTTCCGCCTTCTTTGGTTTCCTAGTTTGCCCTGCCGGTTGGTTTTTCGGGGTCTTACGATGTCTCGCGTCGGTCCCGTCATTTCTGAACTCCTGGCGGGCTTGCTTGCTTTGGGGAGTTTTTCTGTTCGGCAGACATTCCATCTCTTTGTGCCGCTTGTGTTTCGGTGGTCGCGCCCGAGATCTTCCCGCGGCTCCGCTTTTTCCTGGGCTCAGAGGGGGCGTTGTCGGGGCTGCTTACGTTCTGCCTCGCAGTCTCGCCCCCAGTTGGTGGTCGGGTGGCTTCGTGGTAGGTGTCCCACCTGCATACTTCTCTTGGCGGCAGTATGGGGTATTTTGGCTGTCCTTCCTTTTCCTGTCCCTTCTTAGGTGGTTACTCTTGTTAGCTTGGTTTACTCTCAGCTTGGTTTTCTGGTGGGGGTTGGGGGCCGTCGTCTTGCCACATACTGTCGCCTCTTTTCGTGCGGCGCTGGCGGAGCCGCTTCAGCTTGCTTTCGGTCTTGGTGTTGCTTCTGCACCGTTAGTAAGCTGTCTTGTGCGTCGTTTCACCTCCGGCCTGTTCGTGCGCCGCTTGCACCATCCTGGTCTCTGGTCAGCGTGCTCTGTCTTCTCGGTTGGTAGTGCCCCTTCGGTTCCGGTTTGTTTTTTCTTCGGCTCTTTTTCCTTTTGGCATTTGCCTCTGGGGGTCGGGTCGCTGAGTTTTCTTGCTCCTTTGGTTTTAGCGTTTTGGTTGTTCGGTGGCAGCAGTCTCCATCTTTTCTGGCGTGGGGTGGGGCTGCTACGTTCTGGAGGGGTCCATGGTTTGTTGGTGCTTCGTTGGTTGGGCCTGGGGTGTGTCATGTTTTGTGTTCAGTGGCAGCCCTCTGCTGTTGTTTGCGTGCCACGGCGTCTGTGTCCGGAGCGCGTTTTGCGTTGATCCGGTTCTGTTCTTCCCGGTTCGCGGGTGATGGTATCCCGGGTGTCAGCCATGTTCTTGCGGCTAAGCTGCCTGTGTTCTTTCCTCATGCCCGTGGCGTTCGTGGCTTCGCTGCTCTCGCTGCAGTCTGGGTGACGTGTCCTTGCGGTCTTTCAGGCATGGATCTTTGGTGTTCATACGGGGGCCTTGCTGCTCGTTGTTCTCGTGTTGTTCCCAGTACTTTTCGGGGCTGTGGCGCTTTGGGTTGGCGTTTGCTGCCGGTTGTCTCGCTTCCGGGGGGGGTGCGTGGTGTCCGCCTCCCGGTTCCGTCCCTTTGACCTTCCTCTGTGGGTAGTTAGCTCCGGGGAGCCGACGAGGCTCCCCCCAGAAAACCAGCGTTGAATGTAATGAAATGCCATTTTCTGGATGAGACCCGGAGGCTCCCCGGCAACCCTCCCTCCCTCCGGTCGGCAGTTTTTTGCGTGTTTTGACATTCAGCCTCAGAACTGATGGGTGGATAGCCGGCGTGGGAGGTCTGGGGCTCCCCCTTCCCCCTCCCGGGGAGGGGGGAGCTGCACAGACAGCGGCGCAGTGACGTGTGCATCATACTAGTTTGCTTGTTTTCTGTTGAGTTCTATCCACTAGTTCAGCTTTAGGTAGCAATTTTCACCAGAATAGGGGTTTGTTTTGGAATGCTTACCTTTCTGGATGCTTGACCCGGTCGATGGCAGACACAGAATGCTTCCAACCACACGGGGGTTTCTATAGGCCATTGTTCCCCTTGCCTCTCTGAGGGGGCCAGGTTCTGGCCGTGGTCCCCGGTAGGCCCTAGAACTCCATACACATGACTGATGCCAAAGTCTGACATTAGCATATCAGCCTGGTAAAGCTCCGGGGAGCCTCCGGGTCTCATCCAGAAAATGGCGTTTCATTACATTCAACGCTGTTTTTTTTTCCCCCTTGAGAACCAAGAGAATGTCTGCTATAAACAGTGGTGAAATGCAGGGGTTAATATCTTTCGCACAAAAAAAATTGATCACTTTATATTTCTTTATCTGGAATGAGACAATACTGATTTTCAATATAGTTAATGATTATTGGTGTATATAATCTGTTGGCTGCCTTATTTTGCCTTTATAGTATGCATTAGATTATGATAAAAGAAACTGCAATATTGCCATACCTAACAAAAATTCATCCTTTTTGGGAATTTTTATTAAATGTGAAGGATTCTGTATTTTGTATTTGTTTACTTTTAGACCTAGTGATCTCTCAAACTTATATTTTGCAGCTCCTGAGGCCAGAACAAGAATTACTCTTGTAGTGCCACCATCTAGTGGCATTAGAATTGTGAGAAATGCTGCATTCATGATCATGTCAGCAGTGTCATGAAGTGCATCACATGTGTCAGAAATACTGCATACGTGTACATGTCAGCAGTGTCATGAAGTGCATCACAGTGTCAGATCTACTTCATACATGATATCATTAGCAGTGCCATAATTTTCATTACCGTGTCAGAAAACTACATATACAGTATAAGGGTAAAACTTTGCTCGAGTTCATTTCCACATAGAGTATTGACTATTACATGCACAGCCTCAGCATCCTGTGGATGGATCCTTACTTGACTCCTTCAAATATTGTCGTGTGTTGCCTTATCACCAAGTGTTAACACGTTCATGTGAAGCACTGTTCATGTATTATAAGCATCTCATGCACTGTGTCACCATGGTAACAAAGGAAACATGTATTTAAATACAAATTTAGTGTATTATTGACAATTCATTGTGTTGCGGGACAGGCAACCAGTATATATATAATTCATAATATAATAATTCATTGGGACAAGAAGCCAGAGTTCATTCATACACTTTTTGGTTTTTATCTTTTATATTTGTTTTATCAAAAATTGTATATTCGTACATGTATCTACAAAAAAATTTATATACTGTATATGGATTCAAGTAATTTGCTGTTGAAGTTCATAGGGCTATCCAAGTAAAATAATATATGTAATAAGACATCCCACAGTGCTATAGTTATAATTAGCCATCACTCAGTGTTGTTGATATATTTATAAGACATCCCACAGTGCTGTGGTGATATTTATAATCAAGACATCCCACAGTGCTGTGGTGATATTTATAATCAAGACATCCCACAGTGCTGTGGAGATATTTATAATCAGGCATCCCACAGTGCTGTAGAGATATTTATAATCAGGCATCCCACAGTGCTGTAGAGATATTTATAATCAGGCATCCCACAGTGCTGTAGAGATATTTATAATCAGGCATCCCACAGTGCTGTGGAGATATTTATAATCAGACATCCCACAGTGCTGCAGTTATTTGTGTAATAAGACAGACAGACAGGCAATATTTTATATTGCTGTATAATACAACATACTTCAGTGATTTAAACAATATATAAATTTTTTCTTTAGAAGTGATTCAAAGGCATATGATACAATCTTGAAAAATTTAAAATAAAAATCTTGCCACAGGATTTGTTTTGACTTGTTTACAAAGTCATGCACAGGCACTAATTTTTATGTTGTTGGCTGCATGTTGAAGAGTGCATTTATATGTAACTCATTGGATATATTTTACAGTATATCTTACGTCTAACATATTTTATTATATGAATTCAATGTTTTCATACTGTTCAGGAACCAGTAAGACCAGTGGTTTATATATTGTCAATTTTGCAATAACTTTTACATCTTAATAAGATATTTATTTGCTTTATATTGATACCAAAGAGAATGGTTAATTTTCAGTAGTTTATTTGACCTTCAGTGCCATCTGTTGACAACAGAGGTAAGACTTCATAACCTGACTGCTCTATGCTGGCTGCGAGGTAGTAACTTGTATTAATTACATATCCCACAATCCAAATGTTTAACATCTCTAACAACATTTGCTTTAGTAAAATTCAAAAACTCATGCAGATTAAAATCCATATCACAAATATATGTTATTTAGACTTTTCTCAAATATTTATAAAGCAAACAATAATATATTCAACAAAATATAAGAAAAATCTGTGTCTACTGGAATTTACAAATACAATGTAGGAAAAATTAGAAAAAAAAAACATTTTTGGGGGTTCAAATAAGTTTTTAGATTTATACTATCAAAACAAAATTTGGAAAAAGAACCACCTTATCAGCAAGGAATGTTCAAAAAACTATAGAAAAATATCTTAAAAAGGTATCATGCAAAGGAAGCATTCAACGATTTGAAGAGCAGAAAACCAGCATTAAAAATTCATTATCCAAAAGCTACTTTTAGAATATCAAGACAAATATGAGTGCTCAATTTGGAGAGAAACCAAATCACTGTTCAGTGTGTCTAAGAGATTTTTCAGACAAATCAAGTCTAGTAAGGCACATGAGGATTCATACAGAAGAGAAACCATATCACTGTTCAGTGTGTGACAAAGACTTTAAACAGAAATCAAATCTAATAAATCACATGACTATTCATGCAGTAGAGAAACCATATCACTGTTCAGTGTGTCTAAAAGATTTTTCAAATAAATCACATCTAGTAAAGCACATGAGGGTTCATACTGGAGAAAAGCCATATCACTGTTCAGTGTGTCTAAAAGCCTTTTCAGACAAATCAAACCTAGTAAGACACGTGAGGAATCATACAGGAGAGAAACCGTATCACTGTTCAGTGTGTGACAAAGACTTTTCAGACAAATCAAATCAATTAAAACACATTAGGATTCATACAGGAGAGAAACCCCATCAATGTTCAGTGTGTCTAAAAGACTTTATACATAAATCAGAAATAGTACAGCACATGAAGATTCATTCAGGAGAGAAACGATATCACTGTTCATGGTGTCTAAAAGTCTTTAAAAGTAAATCACATCTAGTAAAGCACATGATGATTCACTCAGAAGATAAACCATATCACTGTTCAGTGTGTCTAAAAGACTTTTCAGACAAATCAAATCTAGTAAGGCACATGAGGATTCATTCTGGAGAGAAACCATATCACTGTTCAGTATGTCTAAAAGACTTTTCAGACAAATCAAATTATTAAATCACATTAGGATTCATACAGGAGAGAAACCCCATCAATGTTCAGAGTGTTTAAAAGACTTTATACAAAAATCAGATCTAGTAAAGCACATGAGGATTCATACAGGAGAGAAACCATATCACTGTTCAGTGTGTGACAAAGGCTTTTCAGTCAAATCAGATCTAGTAAAGCACATGAGGATTCATACAGGAGAGAAACCACATCACTGTTCAGTGTGTGACAAAGACTTTTCGAAAAAATCAGATCTCAGAAGGCACATGAGGATTCATTCAAGAAAGAAACCACATCACTGTTCAGTGTGTGACAAAGATTTTTCAAAGAAATCAGATCTAGTAAAGCACATGAGTATTCATTCAGGAGAGAAACCATATCACTGTTCATTGTGTCTAAAAGACTTTTCAAACAATTCAAATCTAAAAAGGCACAAGAGGATGATTCACACAACATAAAAACAATGTTAGTGTTCCATTTCTAAAAGATTTTTCATATATGTTTAGTCTGTTAAGACACATGAAAACCTCATGTAGGGGGGGGGGGACACAACATGGAGTAAGAACCCTATAACAGATCTTTTATTGTTTTAAAGCTTTTACATGAACTTTATTTAGTATCCCTACTCTCCCAGCGGCTAAACCACGGTGACTTGGCTTTACATGCCTAGGAAGACTAAATACTGATGTAATATACACAGATTTTGCGAAAGGTTTTGACAAATGTCCCCTCCGTGGTGTCGTCTTGTCATGGTGAGGGGCTCACATACACCACCCTGGGACCGGTGAGGGTTGCCTTTGCCCCCCCTCCTGCCCCTTTTTGGGTGTTGTACATGCAGAAGGGCACCATGTAGGGTCCTTGTGAGTCATTGGACCGCCCATTGTAGGGGTCACCCGTGAGGGCTGCCCTAAGTGGATGGTTGGGGCAAAAGGGGGAATGAGATCTTTGCACCAGTGTGGGAGAATAGACAAAGTAGTAGAATTCCCTTGTTAAAAACGGGTAGCACCGCTGGGGAGAATCCACTCCTTCCTACACTGGCCCGCACTCTGCCTCCCTGGCTGCCCTGGTAAATTGGTATCCCTTGGTTCCAGGCCCCAGACTGTTAGAATGAATGCTGCATGGAAACTGTAACGACCTCTCTTACCCAGGCTCATGGGGTGGGCGACCAGGGCCCTGAGTCGGACTGTGATAGAAGACCGGGCTGTGTAGCCCCTGCTACATTGGGTCCTGACCAGACTACTACTCCCCTCCCTCCTCTGTGGTAGTGTCGAGCCCCAAGACCCCCAGTAGTGACCACCACGTCCCCTGACACGGCTCCTGCTCTCATTGTGACTACTGCACCTTTTAACCCCTCTCTCTGTGGGTTCTCAACGCTGACCGTGCCATTGCCACTCTTGCACGATCCCTTCCCATACTAATATTTACCACGCCTTGTTTGGTTCTGCTACGTGGGATAAATACTTTGATCTCAACCATCTGGATTCTGCATCTCCTTATGATTTCTCCCTCCATAAACCCATTGTTGAGTCGATAGATGCCTCTGTTACTTTTAACCCCACCCATCTTGGTACACGTGTCGTCACTACTACTCCTCTGGATGCTGCTACTCACTTAGCCGCATTGTCCAGCATTGGGGAGACCCCTCTTGGGTTCTCCAAAAATGCTCGGATAAATGCCAGTGTTGGACTGTTCTCCTCTTGCACCATGTTGCAACTGATGTTAGGGACCTAAAAGACTGCCACAAGGATGTTAAACATATCATCGAAGCCCAAGGCCATTCTGTCCTCCAGGTGGACATGTTCACTCGACCCCCTCGTGGTTGTCGCCATCAGCCCCTTCGAGTTGTGAAAATCACTTTTATTAGTAGGACCCTTCTGCCGTCTATAATTCTTGCTGGTGCCAGATGCTCTGTTCAGGAATATATTTCCCCTCCTAGACTTTGCAGTAAGTGCTGGAAATTCGGCCATGGTGCTCTCAACTGCACAAATGCTGTGTGTCTATGCACCATGTGCGGGGACGAAGGTGCATACGGCTAAGACAGAGTACTCTTCTTCCCTCGCTGCCTCAATTGCGGTGAGGCCCACCCTACCTTCTCCCGCGCGTGTATACACTGTAAACTTGAGGAAGCCATCCTGAACTTGAAACACCAGGATCGTTTGTTTTTCTCTTGAAGCGGGGCACCAAGTCCACCGTCTGAACCCTTTTGCTGGCATACCTTATGCTTGCCTGTTGCGTTCCACCTCTCCTTGCCCTTCCCCCTTACTCAGTCTTACAACCGTTTCCAGGCCTTAGACCTGGACACACCCACCACTTCCTCCCCTATTCCTTTACGTTCTGACCCAAAGGGGGGTCCCCCCACCTGGTTCTCCATCTGGAGTTTTCCCCGCCTTCCTACCCAGTCTGCCATGTCCCCTATGTTTTCTTTCCCATCTCTTCCCCCCCTCCCCCATGAGCCTTCTTCCCAACCCTTCCTCCCAGTCTCTTAGCCCTCCACACTGCCTGTCTGTCCAGGCTGTTGTCCATCATCCTCCCAGCAATCTTCATGTTGTTCATTCCCGATCTTCTTCTGTTGAGACAATCGAGTCTCTCACCCAGTACGTTGTTTCTGGCACACCTGTCTCTCTGAGTTAGAAACGTAAGCCTGGCTTCTCTCCTTCCTCCTCCCTGGCAGGTAAGAAGGCATCACTTTCTTCCTTGCCCCCCCCCCCACTCTGACTCCATCACTGCGTCCCCTCCCATTTCAATGGTCGGGTCCCCTGTCTGAGCTATGAAGGTTCCTTTAGCCCCTGACTCTCTCCCAGTTACTGCCCTTGCTGAGGTGTGCTCCCTGGTTTCTACCCCCTCCTCACCCTGCTGTCCTTGACCGCCCCTCCATTTTCTCCTACTCAAGACCCCGTCTATCTGCCTCTGGTCTGTCCTCCCGCTCCCTTAACTCCATTCTTACTAAGTCTACCCATGCCCCCTAACCCTGATTCATTGTCGCTCCCTTAACTCCATTCTTACTAAGTCTACCCATGCCCCCTAACCCTGATTTCGCTGACCCTAATCCTGATCCTGAGCTTTTTTAATATGCTGTGTTCTTCTTTACCTTTGTTTCTTCATTGTTTTCTGTTGCTGTCCTCTCTCCTTTTGACAATGTCTGTTTTTCAATGGAATATTCATAGATTTTATGCCAACTTCCATGAACTCCAACTTCTGATTACACAGTTTTCACTGCTTTGTGTTAGCGCCAGGAGCCGATGCTTGGTGCTCGTTCTGGTCACTTTCTTGGTTATTCCTTTCTCCTTCCCCCTCTGGTTTTTGCTGGAGCCCATAACTCTACTGCTCTATTGATTTGTACTGATATTTCCTGTGCCGTCCTACTTTTTCAGTCACCTATCCAGTGTTTGCTAGTTGTGTTTTTGCGGGGGTTGAGCTTTGCTCTTTCGGCCCGCCTCTCAACTGGCAATCAACTGTTTACTAACTACTTTTTTTTTTTTTTTTTTTTTTTTTTTTTTTTTTTTTTTTTTTTTTTTTTTTTTCCACACCACACACACACACACCCCAGGAAGCAGCCCGTGACAGCTGACTAACTCCCAGGTACCTATTTACTGCTAGGTAACAGGGGCACTTAGGGTGAAAGAAACTATGCCCATTTGTTTCTGCCTCGTGCGGGAATCGAACCCGCGCCACAGAATTACGAGTCCTGCGCGCTATCCACCAGGCTACGAGGCCCCCCCAGTGTT